TATTTCTGCATTGAGCAGGGTCTAGTGATGTCAGTCCCACCTGGTGTGCAGGTAAGCAGTCCTGCAGCAGGAGGACCTCGCCTTGGCGTTGGCCGAGGGGTCGGGCTGTTGCCCTGTGGCGGGAGGCCGCCCCTGCCTGCGAGCCAACACCTGTGTTTCTCCCCTGCAGATGTTGCCTTCATCACGACCGTGACCTTCCTGTGGAAAGTGTCAGCCATCACGGGGGTCAGCTGTCTGCCACTCTACGTTCTGAAGTATCTGAAGCGGAAACTTTCTCCTCCCAGCTACTCCAAGCTCAGCTCCTGAGGGCCACACTGACGGCGGGGCTGCTCCCAGCACCTTCCGCCCAGTGGCTGAGAGGTGTGAGGGACACCTGGGCAAGAAACCCTGTCCACGCCTCACTTCAGGGCGACCCGCGCCACGCAGGCCACCACGCGCCCTGCCTTTTGTTCTCTTAGTGTTTTATTGTTTTCCAAAATGTACTTTCCGTATACCAGCTTCAGTTTCTGTTGACACGAGCCATAGTTGTGTCTCTATTCCTGCCAAGATCTGCCTGCTCTGAAAACATCTCTTCTGCTGTTTCTGATGTTCACATCCTGGCTCGGAGGTTGTCACGTGGAACGCCATCTATCCTTCAATAAAATCCAGAGCCCCATCCCCCCTCTGTGCACCCTCTTCATCAGCCACTGATGGTCGTGCTGGGCTCCTGTGTGGTCGTGGAATCTCCCAGCTGTGAGCTGTTAGGAGAGAGCCAGCCCCCGGGTCGCACTAGTACTTTGTACGTAATCCCACTGCAGCTGCTAACATCTGCCATCTTCACAGCAGTGTTGCTGTCGGGGCATCGTGCCCTGTCTGTGACAGTTGATGGCCATCACACCGAGTGCGAACACCTGTGTTCATCTGCTGCCCTGGGACACAGTCCCCCAAAATGCCACACCTGCCTTCTTGTCCGCTCAGTTAATGTGAGACGACAGGACGTGGTGGCGTGGCTTCTGTGAGGCAGAGTGTTTGATCACCAAGGTTCCCTCCAGGACCATGCTGTGCCCCATATCCACGTCTGAGGTGCAGCCCCGAGGGACGGCCCTGGGAGGTCTTTGAGTCGAGTGCTTGGGGAGATGATGTGGGGCCCAGGCCCCTTCATGCTTGCAGAGCAGCCCAGCCATGCCCTGCTGCCAAGTGGCCCATGGGTGTGTCCCCCCAGAACCCAGGGCACCCCTCCTACCCAAGTTCCCGGGGAGGACCAGATGGGCAGTGACAAGGCAGGAATGTCCATGGCTGTGTGGTCAGCCGGCCTCAGCCACTCCCTCCACACCTTCCCACCTTCTGTCTCGGTCCCCTTTCCCCTGTCAGCTGCACCAAGGCCTCTGGGTCACCTCTCAAAGAGCCACCTTCCCCTTGCAGGAGATCCTCAGACTCGCCACCAGATGTCACTGTGTCATGTTAACATGGCTGATTCCCTCCCTGGGCTTAGGTCACTTGGGGCCACGTCTGTCCCTTTTCAGAGCATGGCTGTGAGAGAGGGACAGAGGCCCTGCTGGGGTCAGGCCAGCCGGGCCTCAGTCGGTGGCTGGAGCGTGTGAGGGACACAAGGCAGAGGTGGGGCCACGCACAGCGGGGTCATTGCCAGCCTTTGCACAAACCACCCACCTGTGATGCCAGCCCCTCACAATCCCAGGCACTAGGCGAGGGACACAGCGGTGCGGCCGAGATGCCAACGGTGACCCTGGTCAGCTGAGCACAGTATGGGGCTGCAGTCACACTCGCCCCAGAGAAGCACACACAGCTTGCTGGTGCCTCTGAGCCCCGAGCTGGGCTCCCACCAGGGTCCCTGGAAGGAGGTCCTCCAGAAGGCGGGTCCCAGGATGCCAGGATCCGCCTGGCATCCACAGCCCGAGGGACCCCCAGGCACTGGGTTGCTCGTCACCCCAACCAGGTATAGAGGGGTCCTTGTGGGCGATGCCCAGAGCCTCTGTCATCAGTGACGCCGCCTCACTTCTGGACGAGAGGTCACTCCCAGGGCCCCTCCTCACCGCTTCCCTTCGCCCAGGGCCCTTCTAACCTAGAAACTATTCCAGAGACCGACAGAATTCCTAGAGCAGAATCAGGGCTGGGGCTGCCAGTGCAGTGGGGCTGCTCCCCCGAAACGACCCCAGACAGCCCCGGGCCAGTAGGCCCCGTGACGAGAACGGCCCCTCTCCGTTCCCCTCACACAGCGCTCTGAGGGGCCCAGCAGAGGGCGCCAGGGCCCTGTCCTGCCTTGGGAGGGTGGCGAGTCCTGGGAGCAGCCCCGCCTTCCTGCTGAGCCGCCATGGTAGTTGGGGGTGCATCCCATCCTTAGTGCCCTTGAACTTGGCCTTTCGCCTCTGCACTCTGGGGTGGCCTTTGAGTTTTGTCCTCAGGACTGGCCTGAAAGGCTGGGGTCCCAACTGCACACGGACTCCGGAGACCAGGGTGCCTCAGAGCTGACCTGGCCCATGAACCCACCCCTCTCCCACCTGGAAAGGGGCACCCCAGCCCAGGGGAACCAAAGGGTGTTCACCCAGCTCTCGGCCTCCCTCACCCACCGAGGATGCCCCCCAGAGGCTCCCTGGATGCAGCCCTCAGGGGCCCGTCACCCCAGACATTTCCCTTCCTTGTCCCTCTGTGCTGGCCATGTCCCTCCAGGCTCTGAGCAAATGTGCAGTGACGGGTCCCACGGTATGTCCATCCCAGGCATTCTCCAGCCGCGACTCTGGGTTCCACTAGGACCTGCGATGGTGCGAACCCACCCCTCAGATGACTGCTTGCTTATCCCCTTCCTGACAGCCCTCAGCCATATGCCACAGCCCCCCTCCCCTGCTTACTGGATGAGAAGCTACCCCCGGTTCCCTCAGCGTGGGATCCCTCGAGGACAGCTGGGGCCGTAGGGGTCGCATGACACAGTGAGGGCCATGAGTCCTCAGGGCATACCACTCACTGGCGGCATCCTCCTGCCCAGTCCCCTTGGGCCCTCCCCATGTCCCTATCCTGCCCAGGGGACAGCCCCTCCTGCTCCCCCTCCCACGAAGCCCCCACTCTGAGGAGCACGCCTGTCGCCCGAGGATGCAGCCTAGGCTCCCTCGCGGGTCCTCTGTGTCACAGTCCTCCAAGGTCGGGGGGCGCCCCAGGCAGAACTTGAACAGGACGGGGGCTCGGGCGAGTGGAACACAGCTCTAGGTGGCGGTGCCCTACGTGGAGTGGGGAAACTGAGGCACATGGGGTGGAAAGCATTTCCCCAGAGCTCGTCAGGCCCCTGTTTGAACTCAGACCCGAGGGGGGAAGACCCTGGAGTCAGGTGGCCTGGCCTGTGAGGAGGGGCACCCGCAGGGCCCAGCAGTCTTGCCAGCCACCTGTTCCCACCCAGGGCAGGAGCCAGTGCAAGTCCAGAAGGGTCCAGAAGGGGGAGCGAGACACTAAGAAATGGAGCCCAGCTCCACCTGGGCAGCCTCCAGCCCCTGCCGTCTCCTGGAGCGGCGGCGGAAGCCTGATGGAGACGGATAGCTGAAGCAGCCACCACTCGGGTCACACACAGGACCGCGGCTTTCTGCTGGACATAGCAGCGCCGGTGGCAGCTGACAGTCACCCCCGTCCCAGGAGCGAGCAGCCCCCCGAGGGGTGCCAGCAGCTGATCCTGAGCTGTGTGGTCCCCTGGCGATGCCCAGCCTGCCCATTGCAAAGACTCCGCCCTTCCTCGGACGTGTTCAAAGGAATGGCAGCCATGTGTCCCCTGCTCATAGGGCGTACACTGCAGCTGCTTACAGCAGGAAGGGACCCCTGCGCCCCTCAGGGAGCCCCGTGGGACAGGCGGGCCAGCACTCACCGACCACTGCTTCTGGGCCCCAGCCCTCTACCCGTGACCACTGTTGTCCCACCCTGTTTGTGGCTGCGGGGCCAAGTCTGGACCCCTCCCAGATGGGCCCAGTCCGCCTCCAGTGGCCTCTGGCTTCAGGGACATTGGTCGAGAGGAAGCACTGTGGCCCTGGAAGGATTAGGCTCTGTGTACGGATCGGTTGGGCCCTAAACATTCATTACCATCTGTAGAATCTTCCAGAAGTCACAGAGTACGAAATTTCAGGACCGGACGAGACCTCAGCACCACTGTCCCATTTCCTGACTGTCCTGGAGCATTCCTCGGCCACTGCTCAGCCCGTCAGCCTGTCCTCACACTGCACTGAGGTCATGGGACCCAGCAGCAGGCCAGCAGACAGGGCAGCCACCGTGGGGACGCAGGGACGTCATAATGCCTGGGTCCATGACAGACAGCATGTGTGTATACACCATACGCTGGCAACACTCTGAAAGAGAACGGCCCGGCCGGCACCACCTGGGCCAGGGCCAACCTCACAGGTGTGAAACCGTTGTCCACAGTTCTGCAGGCATCACACAGTCCTGCCGCCAAGTCTTTGAAAACATCAGAAAAGAGGCCCTGTTCTCGGACCCTCTGGAGGGGGGTTAGCATGCACTGCCCCTTAGGAGAGAGCAGCACAATTCTTTCCAGAAGCTTCTGTGCTGCCACATGTCAGCCATGGACCCTGCACGCAGGCCTGCAGATGCCAGGCCCTTCCTAAGGTGGCAATATTACACACAGGTGCCATGTCTGTGAGGCTTATGGTCCAGACCTGGCCACAGCAGGGTGGGGAGGGGGCGGCAGATCCCCCACGCTGTTGGTGAGTACAGGAAATCATCGGACAAGTGCTTTAGCGAGTAGTAACTCCAGACAGGAGCTCTGGTAGCATAGTGCCTAAGGAACTTGACTGCTCACCAGAAGGCTGGCGGTTCCAACCCACCAGCCACTCCTTGGAAAGAAGGTTGGGCAATCCTACTTCCGTAGTGATACTGCCTCAGAAACCCAAGGAGGGGTCGCTATGAGTTGGGGCCGACTCGACGGCAAACAACAACAACTCCAGACAGGACACTTCTGCTGAAATACCCTGCGCTGAAGTCAGGTTTCTGCACAGAAAATTAACTTGAGTCGCAAGAAGGGTTTGAGCCAGTACATTTCAATCGGGCATCTAACTGGGACGTCCCTAAGGAATGACTGTAGTTGTCCTCCCTTTCTCTTTGTTCTCAAGGGCAGAGTTGTAGCCCCTTCCCCACCCCACCCGCCCAAAGCTGTAACCATGCTGCTGCACTGCAGGGCCCTCAGGGAAAACGGACATGCCCCTCATCTGCCCAGTGCAGTGGCAGGTGGGCCATGGCCTCTCCTATGGTGTCCCTGCCCCTCCTGCTGTGATGACACTCCAGTCGACCATGGTGGAGCTGCTTGGCCTCATGCTGATCACAGTGGA